GAAGGTGGATCCTCTAAAGTAAATAATTACCATATTTTTTAATAAATAAATAATTAATTAAAATTATAAAATAAAATAATTAAATTCATTTATGTTTAAAAATTGTTTACATTTTAGAAAAAAGATAGTAGCGAATAATCTAATAATTATTATTCATAATATAAGTTACTTTTTCTTATTCTATGTGAAGAGAAAGGAATAATTCTATCCCAAGTAGCAAAATCACGTCAAAATGACGTCAAAAACTGGTCATAACTGGTCGATTGACGTCAAGTGACTAAATAATGGCGTCTTTAAGACGTCTTTTTTATGACGTCTTAATGATGTTTCTGTACAACGTATTAATGATGTTTCTGTACAACGTCTTAATGACGTATTATTGACGTTTAGAAACATCATTAAAACGTCATTAAGTCGTCTTAAAATATCGTTATCGATCTGTGACATTAGACCGTCATTTTAACGATATTTTTATGATATTTTTGGTCATTCTTTGATCATTTTTGGTCATGAAATGACCAGACGTCATTTTGACGTGAATCTGCTACCTGGGGCATCATATAATATTGAGAGGAAGCCGAAACATTGTGATAAAATATGAGAAAAAAAGGAGGGAATAAAAATTTCTTAAATTTTATATAAAGTAATGGATGACCTCTGAAGAATAACTCTTTTAATATATACTTAAAATGTAGCATAGAGTGAGTGCAATTACTTTCCGGCTAATGTCCCTGATGTCCTCCAAAAGTATTAAAAATACTAAAGATTACGAAGAGGAAATCACGGAGTACAAACTAATAAAAATCGAACGTAATATATATAATTGTAGTTGTGAAAAATATCTTTTAATGTTACTGTTGTGAAAAACATTTTTTGATGAATGCGTATGATGTTTTAGATCCCAAAAGTCGTATTTTTGCGAAACGCGAAATCATATATCCAATTATTTCCGAATTACCAGACCCAAGATGGATAAGAGTCGGCAATGTCACAAATTTATACATGTATCCACTAGTATCGGGCAAAGCATGCGACGTTGACGAATGTCAAATTACTTTTGATGAGATGTATATGTTCAAAAAAGGCGAATTAATAACATGGGACCGGTTAGTATGGAATTTAAATATTTGTTTTTTTTTTAAATTATTCACAATAATTTCTCTTATTATATAATAACCCAAAAAATAACGTTTAATTTTAAAACCTGTGCTATCAGATCATTTGTGGTGTATAATAAGAAAACCAAATGCATAATGACTATAAAAAGATTCCCGGAACTGCTTAAAGTGGGATTGTCGGTTAAAAATAATTACATAACATTAGAAACAGACAAAATGCCCACTTTATCTGTCAAATTAGAGAATATAGAGAATAATGAGTCTGTTAAGTGTTCTTATTCGTGCTGCAAGATGTATGACGTATTTCCAACATTCACTTGCGTCGATTGCGGCGACGAAGTCGCCAAATGGTTATGCAGGTACGCATTTAAAATTTTTAGATATGTACTGCAATATTTAATATCATCTGTACATTAGATACAAATGAAAAAATTTTCAGATTCTTGGACGATAAAAGCTCCGAACTACGTTTGGGGTATTCGATGAGTTTTGTCAATCCTTCGAGGATGTACTGGCAATCCTGGAACGGGCATGAATCGTTATTTATAGGAAATTTATGGAATGGACACAACTTGGTAATTTATATATTTGTATAAATTTTGCGTAAACTGTTAGTGTTGTGCCAAAGTCTACAAACTGCTTAATATTTTAGTAAAAAGTAATATACTAAAGATCTGTTCGCTGAATTTCCTTACCGTCATAATTTTGTAATTTTATATTTCTATCAAATAAATCAAGATATTGCTCCTTATTAGGGTCCGTTTATAAACATATTGCCCTTGGAGACATCCTCAACAAACCAGATATCACGAAAGAAAAAGCCTGACACATTCGAAATAGAGGATCAATACGGCATGGTTTATCCAACGATCACTATTTCTGCTTCAAAGCAGCACTTGGAGAGGAAATGGGAGTGGATCAAAATCGGCGATTTAATCGTCAAGGTTACACAACCGGCGATAATTAAAGGAAGGTAATGATATGCGTATATATTTATTTTGTATTCTTCTGCTTACACACCTGAAATCTTTTTAATATCGATTATACAAGTCAAAAGTACTCTTAATACTACTGAGAAATTTTGAGACTTTACGACAATAAAACCTTAATTGAATTTCTTTAACGTATGCTTTCTTTTCAGTAATAGGACATTCGATGAGAATGCGTTGTTATATGGATTGGGAGTTAATAGTAAACTGTATGAAGCTGGATATGTTAAAAAAAATGACGACATATACATTCATTTTCCCTGATATAAAGAAGAAGCAGAAATCATAAAAGGTGTGATTAAGAAAAGGAATAGTATTACTTAATGTGTTATTTCTAATATATTCTTAGTTTACGGTTTGTGCTAATTGTATTTTTACTCATATTTATCTCCTTATGGTGTTCCAAGATTTTTTATAAATAATAAAACATTTTGATAATATTTTCTGATGTTTTATTAAAAAGCCAGAAATCCTATTATTAAGATACCGATAGTTTTTGTATCATCATATTGATTATAATTTTTGAATGATATCTCGAATCAAATCTCTTTATATCATTATTTTTGTAGTATAGTCTATATATATTTTTATACAGAGCGCGCATACTTGGCGCCTTTTTCATCTTCTTTTTAAAAAAGATAAGTTTTATTGTATTGATTATAATGATCCTGAGAAATTTACTGAGGAAACAGAAAAATATTCTGCCAAATTGTGCTCCCGGCAATAATATTCTACGAGATGCGTAGTCTATATCAGCAGGGTTTCTCGCGCATATATAGGATAGCTTCCAATGAACATGCACGAGAAAGCAACTTTGCTGCTAACACTACGCTAGACTCAGCGTTCGAAACGTGACTTTTGGAAGTCGGAAAATTATTTTAAAGATTCTGAGAAAGTTATTGAGGGAACAGAGGAACATTCATTCAAATTGTATTCCAGACGATAATACTGAACAAAATATATTCGACCCCATTTTTGGAAACTCATATTTGAAAACTCGAAAATTAATTTAATGATTTTAAGAAATTTACTAATGTTCCTCATAGTAATGATGATAGTTATGGAAATGATATGTTATGTGAAATGATATGTGATAGTTATGGAATTATAATAACGATAATAATGATATTTACCTTAATAATGATAATGGAAATATTAAAAATTAATATACAACATAATATACATTATACACAAATTTCAGAATTATTGGCCATTTTACATTGAAAATACTGATACCATTTTGGCGATACAAATTTATCATCTCAATGTAAAACGTTATTTAATTCTTGCTACTATTAGAAGACGATCGAATTTAAACGTTTCACTGTAAGTAGCGCCACACATTTGATAATTATAATTATAATACAATTAATAAAATCTTATGACATCTTCTCAAGTATCAATCACGATTTGCAGCGAATTCATATTTCTAAGCTTATCTCCAAATGTACAGAAGCGTTTTCTCAGGACACGAACAGAGCATACTTCATAAAAACAATCCGAAACCTTAATACAAACGCGTCCCATTCTGAGACAAAGATAGAAGTAATAATAATAACATCACGTGCGCAGACGATCTCGACACGAACCGTTTCAGTATATCACAACTCGCTCAGTTAAAACGAATACACAATTCAAAGAGATCAGTAAACTCGGCAATCTCTATTCAAAAAGGATCTTATAGCAATTTTAATGCTACTACGTCTAACGTTAATATCATTTGTGCAATAAACAAGTGAACAGGAACAGAAATTGTTAAATGAGAGCAAGATTGACGAGATAAGTCATGAAGTCACACTTCATACAGGTAAATCATACTTCTTACTTATTATTTCTTCAATCCATTCGTACACTGAATAGGGACCAGACAAAAATTCAATTATGAGAAACAATATCTCGATTAACGCAAGTAAAGACATACCTAAACATTTGACTGCTTTAAAACTTGATTCAAATAACTGAGAAAAATTAATAAAATAGAAGTTTTTCACAAACTAAGTTTTTTTATTCACGTGCCTATTAAAACGGCTGACAAAATTTATTTATTTATTAAAATTTATTTATTATTATAAATTTATTTATTATAACAACCGATAGAGATCAATTCCGAATTCACAATTTAAACTTTCCTCGGAGTTATATCACGTTAATTAAGAATGCAACTTTTTTTCTCGAGATTTATTTAAATTATATAAATCAAAGAATTGCTTTTTTTTGAAGCAATAAAAATAATGTAGGGTAACTGTCAAAAGATATATCACAACAGAAATTTTTGAAGAATAACTTTTTTAACGAATTTATTTGAAATGCAGTATACACTGCTCGCAATTGCTTGCGGTATGACAAGCCTCATGTTCAGCGTGATTCTACAAAATAGACGACAGAAGATGAAAAAAATCAGACAAAACAAGTTACCGATAGTCCCATCTAAATTAGAAGGTAGTGTGTGCTTCAACAGTTATTAGAAAATAAAATTCACGTGGTAAAGTGGTTGTAGAGAATGTACTTATACTTTTACTTATGCACAAATTCGATACTTCAGATAGTGCAGAATATATTTCATTGAATCGTAAACGCAATTACCTAACTATTTCCCAATTACCAGCACCGAGATGGGTCAAAGTCGGTAAGGTTACAAATCTGTACGCATATCCATTAGTATCGGGCAAACCATGTGTCGTTGATGAGTGTCAAGTGAAATATGAGGGGATGTACATGTTTAAGAATGGCCAATTAATAAATTGGGATCGGTTAGTATAGAATTTGGATACATATTTCTTTAACAAACTATCAGTAATAGTTCATGGTGTTATATCGTAAATAACTCATCGAAATTAACGTTGAACTTTAAATCTTATGTTATCAGAGCATTTGTAGTATATAATATAGAGAGCAAGTGCATAATAACTAGTAATAATTTCCCGACACTACATGAAGTGGACTTGATGATCGAGAATAATTACATAATATTACAAGCCGCTCAGATGCCCACTTTAAGCATCAAGCTGAGAGACAATGAAATTGTCGAGTGTACTTATTGGTGTTGTGAGAAAATACAACCATTCCCAAAAATCGTTTGCACAGATTGTGGCGACGACGTGGCCCAATGGTTATCCAGGTACGTGTCCAGAAATCTCACGTATGTATTGAGGTATTTTATATAATATGTAAGTTAAATACGAGTGTTGTGATCTACAGATTTTTATGGGGAAAAGACTCCGGTTTACGTTTGGGACATGCAATCAATGCCGTCGGTTGTATGGGTATATACTGGCAACTTGTGCTCAGGAATTGCATATTGTATCAAAGAGTCAGACGAAATAAACACAGTTTGGTAATTGATTAAATAGTAGTAATACAATGATGATTAATATCGAAATGATTGTCAGAATAATCGCTGATAAATGAAACTATAATATTATAAACCATCTCGCGTCTTTAATCTCTCGAGAAAAAAATTCTCAGTTTCATAACTTACTTTAATTCGTTAGAAACTTATCCAGACAAACTTGTATAGACATATTATTCATATGGAGGAGATTAACTAATCTAGTGTAAGATATGTCTATATAAGAAGCATCCTTTTACTACGCTACGCATGAATGTATTTTATTCATGATTATTTCCTTACACATATGCAATGTATGATTATGCAAGTTTGTGTTAGTTATACGGTCGAAAAAACGCAAAAGTAAAAGATATATGTATCTCAAGTTACATTTATTCACTGTATTTTTAGTAATTAAATTGTTAGTTAAGCTGTTCTACAATTAATGGAAATCAATACAATATAGTGAATATATTAAATGATAATGATAGTCCCTTGCTATTTCTTCGATCTCAAATATATTTGAATATATTTCCTTATAATTAAATATATCTTGCTCGTTATTTTATCGGTATTTATATGAGTAAACTGTCGCACACAAATCTATAGAACGCTTAATATGTTAATCAAAATCACTATACTAGAAATATTCTTGAGATGTTCTTTGAGTGAACCCGAGTTGAAATTTTAGTTCTACTTTGGAGAACTTTCTACTGAGCTTTCTAATATCTATATATTCTGAAGGATCGGTGTATGTGTAATATATATTGAAACTGAAATCTTACTTAGCGCCTCTAAATAACAGAAAACGCACTTGTTACTTGTAGGTTCTAAAGAGAATCTCTTGGCAAAGCTAGTAGATTAAATAAAATCAAAAGACGTTGTTATAGATTTTAGAGTATAAAAATAGGTGTTAAATCGGATATAAAGCAGGATCAAAATTTTGACTCGAGAATATCATATCATAATATCGAAATGTTATGTCAAATAAATCAACAAGTTTCTTTTCAGAAACCATTCATAGATATATTACACAGCATATTAATATCGCCGACATCATATAATAACACATATGAAATGTTGAGATTATTTGAACCAGACGAGATGATTTGTCCAAACGTCGTTATTTTAATTTCAAATTTATATACGGCGGAAAAGTGGGAGTGGATCAAGATTGGCGGTATAATCATTAAGAATACTCAACCGTTTGTTGAACTAAGGTAATCATACATGTGTCATTATTTCAATTTTTCTTATGCATTTGCTTGTACGCGAGAGGAATAAAAACCTGGAATCTGTTTAGTATCGATTGTGCGCGAATCGAAAATATTCTTAACAGATTTTCAGTCCTTGCAGCATTTGCAATGAAATCTTAATTGAAGTTTTTTAATATATATACTGTTCTCTTTGATTTAGAAAAAGTTCAATGGACAATAAATTACTTGGGTTGGGAGTTAATTGCGAACTGTATCTTCTTGGACGTGTTAAATTAGGTGACAACGTATACCTTCACATTCCCGACAATGATTTAATGGAAGACCAAAGTCCCAGGAAAAAAAGTAAGTGTAGTTAACGCGTTGCGCCAAATATATTACATAGTTTTCGGTTTATAGTAATCGTTTTTACTTTCTCTTTATGGTGTGTCAAAATTTCACGTGGATTATACGATATTTTCTAAAGTGTCATCTGAGATCTGGAAATTCTAACATCAAGATGTCGTAATAGCAGTAATTTTTGTATTACATATGATTTTAATTTAACAAGTGTGATATCACGCATAGATTTCGCGTGTACCATCCCCGCAATCAGATGTGCGTATGATGCATTGATTAATTATCTGTTATTGATGTAATTCTAGAATTTGATTTTTGTGGCTCAGCTGATTTCATTTTTCGATTTCTTAAAGCACTATGTATGCCATAGCAATCAATGTGCGAAGACGAAGTCTGAAGAAACCGAAAAATAGAAATAGCTAATCTGTTAATATAAATAACAAATAACGAACAGATCCATGCATATCGTACAAAAATAGGTACTTACGAATCTGAATGTGCGATAAGAAATTAAATTAGTAAATTTAATCATTTATAATTCAAAAAATTTCGAATTTTCATGTCAAGATTTCCGACTCGGCTTAAACAGCAAAATTCAATTTACTATTGAAGTATTGTAAATACTTCTAGATCATTTTGTATCGTAAATCAATTTTTAATAGTTCACGTTTGATATTTACACAGTTGACATATTTTAACACACAATGTAAATAGATTATTAGTATTTTCTAATCGTACGCATTTTTATTTATCGATATTAACGTATAGTTATCACAGTAACGGATTGCCATTTTGATCTATCGTTTTCTCTTTCTTCTTTAAATAATTAATAAATAATAAATTAATAATGCGTACAATTAGGAAATTTTAATAAGCTAATTGTATTACATACTGAAGATGTTATGAGCTGTTCTGTATAATGTGTTATCATCAAACAAGTGAGTTTATGTTTATGTTAATTTTATTATTGAGCGCATGGCACATAGAAATAAAACAGAAGCAATAAAATTTAAGCAATAAGTAAATTAATTAATCACATTAAATTAATTATTCACGAGAATAATCAAGAACTGAAGACTATCATGTCGAAATTTCAATAATAATTATAATTGACCAAGTCGCTTCTTACTTAAATCTTGTTACTCATATTTTTCTATATGCCACGGCCATACCGTTATATTATGTTATTATTTCATGTTATATTATGTTATTATATATTCTATTCTATATTCTAATATTTTCCAGTTCTTACGACGTTTTTATCTTTTGCAGTTTGTTTTGGACATATTAACATATAATAAAACAATGTTTTTGTTGTGAAATTAAATGTCTTATTAAATACTTCGTATTAAACTTCTTTTATACTTGAAAGAGATTTCTTTTGAATTGCTCCGCGCGACATCTCTGTCCTATCCATAATAAGGCGTGTAAACACATTACTGCCTCGTTTCTACGTACGATGTTCTAAAACTGTTGTCTCGATGTAAGCCATTGCGTATCATTACCAACAATACGGTCAAGACCAATATGTTATATCATTACAATCAAGATTAAACATTTTAGCAAACATTGAGCAAATATATATATATATATATATATATATATATATATATATATATATATATATATATATATATATTTGATAATCATAGTCGTGATATACAATTAACAAAATCTTATTATATTTTCTCAATTATTAATAGCGGTTTTCAGTGAGTTTATATTTCCCGGTTGATCTTCGGAAGATACTGAAACCATGAGTAATTGAGTCGTCTCAGCATACGAACAGCAAACTTTGCAAAAAAGATCAACAAACATGAACGCTTTCAACCCGTTATTACGGAGAGCGATACAGATATATGAGTAACAATAATAAGAATAACGTTACGTATAGACAATTCCGGTACAAACGGCTTCAGTATACCGCAAGAACTCGCTTAGTGGAAAAGGTGTGTACGATCGAAGGACAGATCAGTGAAATCAAATCGTAGAAGAGTCGTATAGCAGTTGTTTGTCGTAACAAACAGTTTGAGGCAAATCAATTTATTGCTGACAAGAAAATAAATTTAAATATGTCAGCGTTATTAATAACACAAATTATGAATATACGCATCGTCAAGGTAAAGTATATTTCTGTCTTATTATTTCTTCAGGCTATTCATACATATTATATCCAAATGTGACCTATCAGAACGGCTAATAAGAGTACTTGCTACACAATTCGAAAAATCAATTCCGAATTCTCAAATTGAACTGTCTACGTATGTTAATTGCGAATATGACTTTTCTGAAGATTAAGCTATATAAATGCGATCGGAGCAGTACTAAATACAAAATAATTATCAAAAGGCATGTAGCATATTGTGCGAGAAACTTTTTAGGAATAATTTTCTTAATGGATATATTCCAAAACACAGAGTTCAGTAGTCGTCCTTATTTGCGGTTTAACGACTCTCACGTTCAAAGTGATACAACATAAAAAAAAGAAATACGAGGCAAATTTCAAGGAGGAAAAAGTAAAGCCGCAAGTGCAAACCGTGTGCAAAATAGAAGGTATGGTTTGTGTTTTGCAAATTATAAAAAAATAAATGACATGGAGACGATTTTGGAGAATGTATTTTTTTATGCACACGAATTAAATATTTCAGATTCCGCAAAACAAAAACCACTGAAAAAACAAAATGACCAACTGTTTATTCCCCAATTACCAGCTCCGAATTGGGTCAAGGTCGGTAAGATCCAAAAGTTGTACGCATATCCGTTGATTTCGGGCAATGAATATAGCGTTGACGAATGTGAAGTAAAATTGGATGGGATGCACATGATTGAGAATGGCATAAAAATGAAGTGGGACAGGTTAGTGCGTAATTCGAATATTTATTTTCTTAACAACTTATATCTCCGGTACCATCGAATGCGCATATTGTGTTTGCAGCTATAATGTTCGATAATATAAATTGTTCAACATTTAACGTAATAGATTCGCGTAACCGTAATTAAAAGACCTCAACTACAGTTAAAAGAACGTAACTACTCATGATTTTACGACAGATAATTGACTTCGCGATTAATAAAACGAGAAGTCCAAAAAATATCGTTCTTTGTGAGTAAAAATTAAAATTCACCATCAATTAAAATATATCAATTACAACTGATTGTTGTAATACATGTAGCGTAAGAAAAGACAGAACCAGCTAGTCAATGAAAATTGATTTTGGAAAAATTGATAACTAATGCATAGAGTTCGTGCGAAAGCTTTGCTTTTGAGTATGCAAAATTCACGCGGTATCATTAGTAAACTTTAATCGCTTATAACTCAAAAACAACCCTGACTACCTCTGATATTTTCGGATTAGGATTTTCTATTCTAATTAAATCCCAGAATACACCACGAAAGTATTATACAATAATTTGCGGACAATAAGCCTGTACAATAAGAAAGATACGGTAAAGTAAGATATTGATATAAAATTTAGTTTACTAATGCGCTTGGATGAACACATGAAATTTCCGATAAGTGTAACTCTTGCTACATCACAGTCTAACGACCAACGAGTAACGACCAACTTTTACTTTATGCCATTAGATCATTTGTAGTGTTCGATGACCTGACCAAATATGTAATTACCTCTAAAATATACTCGGCACTGAGTAAGGTAAGCTTATTTATTGAGGAAAATTGCATAATACTACAAGCACCAAATATGCCCAGCTTATGCAGCGAGCTAACCAACAAAGAAATCATCACGTGTGATTATTGGTGTGGCAACGGAATAATAACAACTCCCAAACTAATTTGTATAGATTGTGGTAACGAAGCTGCTGAATGGCTATCTAAGTGCGTTTCCGTCAAAATTTCATGTGTGCTATACATGATACTTTATATTGTATATATTGTTGTACATATATATATGCGCATTATATACACGAATGACGTAATTTACAGATTTTTAAAAGGGCAAGAAGGTAATGTACGTTTAGGATATATTACAAATTCCTTACATGTAATGAATACATATTGGCACCATTGGGCAAGAGATTGCATATTGTATCGAAAAGCCACGCAGAATAACAAGAGTTTGGTAATTAACATGACTGATTAATACGTCGAATGTCGTGGTGATCGCTAGTGAACAGAATCATATTACCACATTTAGTTACAAGTATTATAAAATATAAGTAGTTGCATCCAAAAGAGAAATTAGTTGCACGACTTATAGATAGTGGGTGAAACAAAGTAAAAGATATATATATATATATATATATATATATATATATATATATATCTAATCAGTTACTTTTATTTACCGTATCTTTAGTAATTTAATCGTCAGTTGTGAGTTTTCAATCAACGGAAATCAGCGCAACAGACGACGTATTAAATAGAGTTACGAGTGTCCCTTTTTGATTTTAAATATATGTTTGAATATTATATATTTTTTATATTATTTGAGTATATATTTTTTGCTAGTATCACGGTATTTATAATTAAACTGTCAATTTTGCGCAAAAATCTACGAATCTACGAATTTTATCTCTTAGTAAAAATCAATTTACTTGAGATATGTTAACTGAGTTAATTATATTATATATCGAAATATTATATATTTTTTTCATTAAATGAATTTAAGTTTCTACTTTTCAGAGCCCATTTGTAAATATATTAAATAGTGTGTTAGTAACGGAAAAACCGTACGAGAGAATATCTGAAAAATTGAAAACGGTTGAACAGGGCATGAAGTATTGCCCAAACATCGTCATCTCGACTGCAAATCACAATATTGAGAAAGTATGGGAATGGATTAAGATTGGCAATGTGATCATCAAGAATGTCTTACCGCAAATGGGATTAAAGTAATCATATGTCGTATTATTACATTCCTCTTATATATATATATATATATATATATATATATATATATATATATATATATATATATATATATA